CTGAACCCAGCATGTAAGGAGTTCTGCTGAAATCATTTTGGATACATCCATAGTTTCATAGTTGGTAGGGCTGGAGGGACTTGAGCAGATCATCAAGTCGGACCCCCTGCCATGGGCAGGAAAGAATGCTGGGGTCAAACGACTCCGGCAAGGTGTCTGTCTGGCCTCTTTCTGAAGACCCCCCAGGGTAGGAGCAAGCACCACTTCCCTTGGAAGTTGGTTGCATATCCTAGCTGCCCTGACTGTGAAGTAGTGCCTCGTGATATCTAGTCTGAATCTACTCTCTGTCAACTTATGGCCATTATTCCTTGTTACTCCCAGTAGTGCTCGGGTGAAGAGGGACTCTCCCATTGCCTACTGGTTTCCCTTGGCCAGTTTATAGGTGGCCACCAGGTCCCCTCTCAGCCTTCTCTTGTGGAGGCTGAATGGGTTCAGGTCCTGTAGCCTCTCCTCGTAGGGCCTGCCCTGCTGACTCCTGACCATCCGAGTGGCGCTCCTCTGGACCCTCTCGATGTTGTCCACATCCCTTCTGAAGTGCAGTGCCAAGAACTGGATGCAGTACTCCAACTGCAGCCTGACCAGTGTCACATAGACAGGGAGGATCACCTCCTTGGACCTGCTCGTGATGCATCTGTGGATGCACGACAAAGTGCGGTTGGCCTTCCTGACTACGTCCCCACATTGGCGGCCCATGTTCATCTTGGAGTCTATAATGACTCCAAGATCCTGTTCTGCCTCTGTGCTGACGAGAGGGGAGTTCCCCAGCCTGTAGGTGTGCTGCTTGTTCTTTCTCCCTAAGTGCAGCACCTTGCACTTGTCAGTATTGAATCCCATCCTGTTCTCATCTGCCCACCCCTGTAACCTGTCCAAATCCAGTTGCAGCCTGTCCCTCCCGTCTAGCGTGCCCACTTCTCCCCACATCTTAGTGTCATCTGTGAATTTGAACAAGGTGCTTTTCACCCCCTCGTCCAAGTCGCTGATGAAGATGTTGAACAGTGCAGGCCCGAGGACCGAGCCCTGGGGGACCCCACTGCCCACAGCCCTCCAGGTCAAAAACGACCCGTCCACCACCACTCTCTGGGTGCGGCCCTCCAGCCAATTGACAACCCATCTGACTGTGTAAGTGTCAACACCACAATCTCCTAATTTTTTAATGAGAATGGGGAGAGACAGTGTCGAAGGCCTTCCTAAAGTCCAGAAAGACTACGTCCACTGTGACACCTGCATCCAAGGATTTTGTGCCCTTGCTATAGAAGGCCACCAGGTTGGTCTGACAGGACCTGCCTCTAATGAGCCCATGTCGGTTGCCCCTAAGCATACACTCCCCTGCTGGCCCCTCGCAGATGTGCACCTGGATAATTTTCTCAAAGAGCTTCCCCAAGACCGAGGTAAAACTAACATGCCTATAATTTCCTGGGCCCTTCCTCCTCCCTTTTTTGAAAATGGGGACCACATTGGCCCTTTTCCAGTCCTCTGGCACCACACCAGAGCACCATGAGTGCTCGTAAAGCTGTGCCAGGGGTCCCGCAATGACGTCTGCCAATTCCCTCAGCACTCGGGGGTGTAGATTGTCAGGACCTGCTGATTTGAACACGTCCGGCCCCTCCAGAAGTTCCCTGACTAGGTCCTCACTCACCCTGGGCCTGGCTGTGCCTCTCCTGGGTCTGTCCAGGATCCCGGTGGGGGGGAAGTTCTGGTCCCCGCTCAGAAAAATGGAGGTAAAGGAATTGTTAAATTGGTTAGCTTTGTCATCTGGTGAAACCACCAGATTTCCAATCGTGTCCTGCAGAGGCCCCATGTTACCCGGAACCTTCTTTTTACCCTCTGTGTATTTAAAAAAGAATTTCTTGTTATCCTTGATCTGGGTCGCTAGTCCCAGTTCCATCTCCGCCTTGGCCTTCCTAACAGCCCCCCTACAGGCCTCCCTGGTGATGGCCCCTTCCTTCCATTGGGTGTATGCCTCCTTAACTTTGAGATGTTCCTGGATGCTTTTGGTAAGCCATGGGGGCTTTTGAGCACTCTTGCCCCCTTCGATCCGTGTTGGGATTGCCACCCTTTGGGCTTGGAGGATCGTCTCCTTCAGGAACGACCACTCTTCTTGGACTCCCAACTCCCCGCCCCTCTGGGACCTCAGTGCCTCCCTGACTAGTCTCCTTGGCTCAATGAAATCCGCCCTCCTGAAGTCTAGGGCTGCTGTCTGGCTGCAGGCCTTTGATACCCTGTGCTGGATGGTGAATTCCAATAGGCGATGACGCTGTCACCCAGGTGGTCGAGCACCCACAGTCTCTTACCAGGTTGTCACTCGTAGCCAGGACCAAGTCTAACAGGGCATTTTCCCTGGTGGGACTGTGCACCTCCTGGGTTAGATGGAGGTTCTGTAACACGGCTAGAAACCTACGTGAGTGGTCAGACCTGGATGACTACTCTTCCCAGCCGATGTCCGGATAGTTTAGGTCACCCATGATGATCACATCCTTTGACTTAACTGCCTCTGCGAGCTGACCTGAGAATTCCCAGTCCAGCTCTTCTCCCTGGTTGGGTGATCTATAGTAGACCGCCACCATTAACTCCCTTTCCCCCCCCGACCCCCTTGTATTCTGACCCAGAGCACGTCAATCTGCCCCTCCTCTGATCCAGTGCTGCTCGTTGAGGATGTGAATTGTTCCTTGACATAGAGCGCCACACCCCTGCCTTTCCTCCCTGTCCAGTCCCTCCTGTACAGCCTATAGCCCTTGATGTTCACTGCCCAGTCGTACGTTGGATCCTACCACATTTCGGTGAGCCCCACTATGTCTGGGTTTGTGTTAGCTAGCAGGAGGGCAAATTCCTCCTGCTTGTTCCAGAAAATACAAGCATTAGTGTATAGGCATTTAAGGCCTCCTGAAGCTATATGCATTGCCCCCCTAATCCCAGGACTATCCGGGTCTTTTATCTGGGTATTTCTTGTGCTCGTTGTCAGTTTTGGCTGGGCTGTTCTTGTGGGCGACACTTGGGTTGGTGGTCCGAGGCTCCCTCCGACTTCATCCTCCCCTTCCCCCAATGAGCCTAGTTGATGTGGTGCGCCGTGAAGAGATGCGCTGAGCCAGCTCATTATGCGCTAGCTTGGAAACCAAACCAGCATAGCTGTGTAAGTGGAGTACTGTGGGCTAATTAGCTGCATAGAGATGGAGGACTTCTTATTCCCAGAGCAGCACCATGCTAATGCAGCTGTACTGCATCCAGTTCTGGAGCTGGCACGTGTAGAGCTAGCTCAGTTATTCCTGGACTGTGTTGTCTTCTGCCATATAATCATACTCATGAATGCTACGCATGTGTATAAGTGTTTGCTGTGGTTGACTTAAATGTAGACATGACAAGTAAGTGTAACAATAAGAGGTAAAGTAGAAAGAGAGCTAGGGTAGTAATAATAGTATTATTGGTTATGTAAGTTAATGTTTCCATTCTGATGGTTCTGAATTGTTTAAACTCTTTCTAATTTGATTCTTTACCATTTTAAAGATTTCTGATCAAACAAAACACTCATTATTTTTATGTCATGTAATGCAATTGCTTGGCTTTCCCTTTTTATATTGACTTCTCCCAAGCATCTCTCTATCTACCATTACTACTTTCTTTAAAAATACCTTTTAATATGTACTCTATCCTCACAACTCCTTAGCTTTTTTAGCTTAGTGTCATAAGTGACTAGCTATTGGGGCTTTACTGCCATCCAGGTACCGGTCGTGTGTCCCTAAAGGTCCAAGACTGCATACTCCAGTGCTTGGTGAAAGACGCATTCTGACATCAGTCGGTACAGGACTGAAGATGCACTGGAAGACACAATACTGTAGAAAATGTGGCCATACATATCTCATTGGGTTATGTGTCCCCAAAGTCCTTCCTCTAGGGAGATGGTTAGCATTTTTGTAAACTAAGTGTTAATCTAAATATTAGATTTTGGTTAGGTGTTAATCTAAAAACAGACTTCAGTCATGCTTATAAGTCTACATTTTTCATAGATTCATTCATAGATTTATAGATGCTAGGGTCAGAAGGGACCTCAACAGATCATCGAGTCCGACCCCCTGCCTGGGCAGTAAAGAGCGCTGGGGTCAGATGAGCCCAGCCAGATGCCTACCTAGCCTTCTCTAAAGACCCCCAATGTAGGGGAGAGCACCACCTCCCTTGGAAGCCCATTCCAGATTTTGGCCACCCTTACCGTGAAGAAATTTTTCCTGATATCTAGCCTAAATCTGCTCTCTGTTTGTGATTTTATATTTATCCATCAAAGCAAATAATGGTGGTTCTATTTAGGGTTGTGGCACATAGGCTGTCTTGGCAAGGAAAGGGGAATGATAGATTTAAATCTATTTTGGTCATTTCCTAATTGTTTTTCTTTTTTTGTTGGTATTTTTTTCATTAGGGACACTGCAGTGACTTACTGATCTTTCAGACAGAACCATACTCGCTTCTTAGGTAAGTTGAGATTATACAGAGGTACAGTGAATCTAGGGCCAGCAGCTGTTGTACTGTTTTTAATATCTGAAGAGGGTTTGATTTTATTTATTTTTTTAACATAAAGCACTTAGAACCATTTATTCATGGAGAGGCTGGTAAACTATAAAACCATTGTTTAGCTAATATTGTAAATGTACTATGTATAATATTGCAAAACAGTATGAAAGGTTTAATTGTTTTGCAGAATGGTGATTTCATTTATATATGAGTTGATTTTAAAGATGTTTCATTGTTATATCCTTAGTTTATAAGACTTTTGTAAATCCTGACTTCTTTTGTAGGTTGTGCCTTGACTGCATTGGTAAAAATGCCACTTTTTTAAAGACTCAAATATCCTGGTTACCACCCAGACTTTTACAGCAAGTATTGAAAAAGATAACCTTTTGGGCTGCAGTTAAATATCGTCAGGAGAAAAGAGCTGAAACTGAAAGACAAGATCAAATAAGTGTCACCTGAGCAACAGTAATAAAATTATTGAACACTACATGTAATTACAGTGTACAGCAAAGTTTGTTAGTTGCTACTGTATTTACTAATGCTACAAATAAACTGTTTGTTTAGCTGAGCTTTGAACAAGTTTGAACAAGTAAATCCTTTTTGTTTCCTGAAGTGTAAGAAAGAGGTATATATTGTATATATGATAATAATTCCACCCCCTTCAGATTTTTTAGGTTAATTTTTGCTGTTGTGGTCTTAATGAGCCAGTTCTTAATACTTATTCCTTCTGAATGAAAGTCACATAGCATATAGAACCTTTTCAGAGGGATAAAATGTCTTAGATTTAAAATCTTATTTTCAAATTTGGCACATCAGCACCTGCTGAAATTAGTTTGGCACAATATTTTGATAAGCTGTACTTTTGCAATTATTAAAAAACAATTTATATTATTATGGTTATAATTCCAAATGCTATTATTTGATGTGACAGCACACGTGCAAGCCTAATTATTGATACTTGGAGCTAACAATCCTACTCAAAAGCAGAGAAATCAACAAGTTGTATAACTGTGGACATTAAATGAGCTCCGTTATTTGTATATGGAAATACAAATACAGTTCATCTGTGTTTCACTAATTCTGTAATCAGTGAAACTTTTTCAAAATAGATTATATATATATTGTATTTTGGATATGTAAATTTTATATTTTAGGTTTGAAATATTTTATGTTTATTTATTGTTAAAAGTATATATATTATTTACTATTTTCCCATCTGTTTCAAGCATTCAATTAATAGAGATGCTGTCATTAATGTTTTATGTATGCAACATATTTGAATGTAGACCAGTTTTGATTAGTTTTTACCATTTTTACAGTTTGACTATAAAACCTATGTAGGAAAGGAAGTTTTATACTGAATATATATCTTAAGGGAAATACTTGGTGACCGAATATCACAGTTAAGCCATACTTTCATACTTCCTTCAACTAAGAAGCCATTTGATTTTTTTTTTCTTAAAAAAAATCTGCTAATGGGAATTAAAATTGTGGTCTTTATGTTAAAAAGAATTCCCCCACGCATGTAAACCATTCAGATTACTGAAGTGGTCCCAGGGGGTTTAGGATTTTCTCAGGTGATGACCACAGTATCAACACTCTGCACTTGTTAATGTGTTATTGCATATGCAGCATTTACCCCACATAGCAAGGAAATATTTCAGATAAACCCTGTTGCAATGCTTATATTAATTACTAATAATTGCTCTGACCCAGATCCTGCAGGAACTCTCATATATTTAACTTAATCCAGTAGAACAAAATAGGTTTTAAATGGGATGATTTAAATGCTGAAACATACATCTGATTCTTTGAAGAATCAAAGCTTATGAGAGCGCTTCAGACCCTCCTTTGAACTGCTCTGATCAAATCTGAAAACCTTCCTCTACTTCCATCCTCAGTTTTTATGATTGGAAATCAAAAAAATTGAAAATGCTTTTGGATGTATTTCTTTCATGTGTATACATATAGGTTTGCCAGATAAAGGGGGCAAGGATAGTTATTTGGAATTAATAGAAATTTGTAGGAGGCAGCTTTTGGATTGAGTATCTCCATCAGTGCCACTGAGGACAATTTCCCCTCAGATGTAGGTAGTAATACTCAGCTGTGGTGTTCTGCTTCACTGCATATGCAAAACTCCCAGGGATATCAGCAAAAAGATTTGCATGCTTAGAAGATCCTACTTTTCTGTTATACAGATGTGAGAAGAGACTTTCGCCTACAGTCGAGGAGACGAATCAGAATATCCTGGGGGCATCTTCAGTTCGTAATCCTTTTGCTTTATTTCTTCTGTTGCACCTGTGCCACTGTCAACATTTACAATTGAGGGAGTGTGAAGACAAAACTAGGGACATGCAACAGCACATCCAGTGCACTAGTAGGACAGTTGCTGGTGGACATTTATCACAGTCAGAAGTAAGGGAGGTGTAATGTCGTATTTCAGGTTGCAGTGGAAATACTGGATCAATTAATACAAAGAATGTTGTTGTTGGTGCACTTGGGAAAGGCTCTTGGAGAAAGAAGCATTAGCTTAAGCAGGAGTGAAAACACAGGGAACTTTCTTCAGTAGAGACTGAGTTCAGATTTTGTTCCAGACGTTATAAAAAGTGCCTTTAGCACCATGTTTTTTTAAATCCGTGTTTCATAGGATTTGCAGTAGTTCCTTGTTTACTGTTAAAGATAAAATACAATAAAATACAGGTTTTTCACAGACTCTTTGTAAGTCAATGATGATCACACACTTGACATTTTCCATTCCAACACAGAAAGCGTTTCTTTTAGGAGTACTTATTCTTCTTTACATGTTGCCTAAGCTGGAGCACATGTACCCTCAGCACTTCTCTCCTGGGGCAGCAACATCCATGCCCTCTTCTTCCTCCTGCTCTTCAGCGAGAGCTGAAGGCAGCAAGGTGTGCCTCCCACTCCTTGCTTCCTCTCACTTGCCTTTGACTCCAGACAGAGTGCTTTTGCCAGCAGCTCGGCTTCACACCACTGGTTCTCACCTCTCCGTACCTTTTCCCTTAACTTCTGTCACTTTTACCTTTTTCAAAGCTCGTTTTTACACATTAGCAATGAATTGGGAAAGATAAAGAGCTAGAATTTCATGAGGAAGAAGTATATTTAATAATCAAAATGTAAAATAATATCATGGATTGAGTATACAGCCCTGAATAAAGAGCTGAGGTCAGGCTGGGATTTGGGTCTCCCACAAGGCCTCAACAATTCCTTCCAAATCAGCTCCTGTCCTCCTAAGGATTCTCTGCCCACAAAGAATCAATTTCCTCTGGGCATAGATCTACAGCCCAATCCCACCCAACGGTTCAACAGTAAATAATTAATAGTCATTGGGCTCAACAATGAGAAAGGGTGAACAACAGCAACTATTGTACAAAAACCAAGGAACCAGAAGCAATCACAAACAAAGCCCAATGGAAACAATCAAGAGCCAACAACTGAGAGGAACACACGCACACTGTGATCCCTCCTCGGGTCGGCGTCCCCCAGACAGCCACGCCAACACACTCTCTCACGGTCAATCGCAACAAGGTATCGACCGCCCCGGTCCTCACTCACGCTCAATCACAAACCGATCGCTTGTCCTGCTGCGGGGACACAGCCAAGGACAAGGGCCTTCACAGTCCTGTCCCTTTTATACCTGTAGTGACAGACAGCTGTCACTCACTCTCACAACCAATCAAAATGTTGTACACGCGTTTCGTTCACCTCTGCACTCCTCACTTTCATTCTGCACACGGCACCTAATTCAGCAGGCAGCATACTTCAGGGAAGGTTCCCGCCCCAAATCGATGATGTACCCTGCACGCGCCCTGGCGGTAAAAGGAGGTCAGTGAGGCCATTGCAGTAGAAGGTCAACCGGCATGCCCCTTGTCAACCTGCACGTGCTTCATGTCTCCAACAGCCCGCACCACGTCCACCGCTGGGGGACACCTGAATCGGTCTGAGCTGGGCTGCCCGTTCTCATGTGCCAGCCTGCCGAAGGACTGCCCCCCAAGACCTGTGTGCAATGTACATTGCTCCGAGCAACGAGCTGAGTTCGGGCTCGGACTGGGAAAACCTGCTTTGAGTCACCTGGTTTTCTCTGTTTAAAAATTGCATATTCCCTGATTTAAAAAAATTCTCTGAATAAAACCCCCAAAATCCACGATTAAAATGGAACGCCACTATATATATGGGTATCAGTTGAACACAATGGTTTACTGATATGCTTACAATTTCAAAGCAATTTGTAAGCCCACCAGTGCCTCAATCACGATAGTACAAGAAATTCTAAATACTTGTAACTTTTGGCATTTGATTTGGGCTTTGGGAAAATCAGAGCTCCCCCTGCCCCCTTTGCAAACCAGGATGCAAGTCCAGGCCCCTCACTCCCCACCCACAGCCCTCTCCAGCCCTGCCGCAGGGGGCTCCCAGCTGCCAGGGCTATGGGGCCAGGGACCCGGGTCCACAGCCCCTGTAACAGCACCCGAACCCTGGCTGCCGCCTGCGGGAGGCAGCAGCTGCTGCAGCAGAACAGAGCACAGAGCCCGGCTCCCCCTATGCTGTGGGCGGCACGGCCAGAGCGGAGCCCGTGGTGGGGATGTGGGCTCTCCGCCTTGATGCCATCTGCCTGGAGCGCCTGCAGCCCAGCGAGCAGGACCCAGTGGGGCTGGGTGGGGAAGCTCCTCATTGCTGCAATCCCTGCACCACCATGGCAACACAGCCCCCCTGCCTGCCCGGCAGCAGTGAGGGGCACAACTCCGCTGCCATCCCCTCTGCTGCTGGGTGGGCAGCACGGGGCTTGCAACGGCAAGGAGCTTCCCCACCTGGCCCCTCTGTGCCCTGCCACACTGGGTGCCCCCCTGCTGGGTTGCAGCGGTCCCAGGGAGGAGGGCAGCAGGGTGAGGAGCCCAAGCCTGCATCGGGCAGCCTGCATCCACCCCAGCCCTGCACACAGATCTGGGGGGCACATACCCCCTCATTCACCCCTCCCACTCCCCCCAGCCCCTTGCAGGCTGGAAGTCTGCCGACCTGCAGAGAGCTCTTTGCAAAAGTGGAAAACCCACGTGTTTTTTCTGTTAAAATTAAAAGTCCACGTTTTTCTCTGTTAAAAGGGAAAATCCATGTTTTTTGCATTTTTTCCACAGGAAAAGGAAAACGGATCCCTGATCACCACAAAACACAAGCTTCTGCCATCTGGAGACCCTCCCTAGAAAGACTGGGCAGAGTCCAGCCCGACCTGAAGCTCAGGTTTTGAGTGCCAGCCTGACAACAGAACCTCTCAGGCCTGCGTAACAAATACATCGCCCCAAATAAAGAGCTGGGTTTTGATGGGATCATCAGGCAAAACCTTCTTGGACCACCCCAAAACTCACATTACCACCTCCAGCAGACTCTTGTGAAACAGCCTGGGCACAGCGTTTCCTGACCCAAACTTTGGTTTTCACATGCCAGCCTGCCAACAGCCAGCCCCCAGACCTGTGCGCCATTTACATCGCTATGAATGAGGAGCTGCTTTTAGGCTGAAATCACTTGATCCCAGCCAGGTGTCTGTCCAGTCTGCTCTTGAAGACTTCCAAGGTTGGGGACTGCACCCCCTCCTTGGGAAGTCTAGTCCAGATTCGGGTCACCCTTACCGTAAAGACATTCTTCTTTACGTCCAACTTGAAGCCATCCTCTGACAGTTTATGGCCATTGCTCCTTGTCCTCCCCCGGGGCGCCCTAGTGAACAGTTTTTTTCCCAGCTCCCGATATTCACCCTGTACATACTTATAAACGGCCACCAAGTTCCCCCTCAGTCTTCATCTCTTAGTCTGTCTGAAGAGGTTTGTTCTCCAGGCCCTTAATCATTCTCATGGCCCTTCTCTGAACCTTTCAAGATTCTCCACGTCTTGTTTGAAGCGCGGCACCCAGAACTGGACACGGTCCTCCAGCTGGGCTCTCACCAGCATCAAGTAGAGAGGAAGTATCACTTCCTTAGCCCCTGCTCACGATGCATCGGCTAATGCATCCCAGTGTGCTATTAGCTCTGTTGACAACAGCGCTGCACTAGTGGCTCATATTCATCCTGTGATCAACCATCACCCCAAGATCTCTGCGGTGCTGGCCAGGACATCTCCTCCTAACCTATATTCATGTCGTTGGTTACTTACTTCTCCCCAGATGAAACACTTTGCATTTATCCTTATTGAACATATGGGAATATTACATCAACTTGTCAAATTTACCTCGAGCTCCCAGCCAGAAGCTTGGTAAAGTAAATTTGCACTGGGTGTTCTCGTGTGAACAGATGCGCCCATTCACAACTCAACAAAAACAGGTTTATTACAAGAGGAGAGGGGAGCAAGGGCACACCCGAAGCAAAATCTTAACTATTAACTTTTAGCTGTGGCTCAAAATTGATCACAATTACAGAGAGCGGCAAACCAACCCAGGGAGCTACCATCTAGCTCTGTCACTGGGGAAGGGAGTCTCATGTAGGGCTGCCATCCAGGGGTAAGCGCTGGGTAGGGAGGCTCACCCCAGAGGCCCGGCGCTCCCCACTGCCAGGGGTTGCTGCCCTTCTCCTGGGGCTCCATCTCCTATGCCAGCCCAAGGTACAGGGGCTGGATAGGGAGGTCTGCATAGGAGTTACTGTCACACTGATGCTGTAGAGCGATACTATGGAGCACTACTGTGGATCTGCCTCCAGAGATCTCCCCTGCTCCACTGGGGGTCTTTGCCGCTCTGCTGGAGATCTCTATCACTCCTCCACAAGGCCGGGGGGCTCCATTGCTCTTCTGGGGGTCTACACCACTTCTTCATGCTGCTGGGGGTATCCATCACTCCTCTGTCCTGCCAGGGGTTTCTGCTGATCCTCTTCAGGCTGCCCTGGAGCCCCAGGTCTTTTAGGTCCTGCCCTATACCAGTGGTTTGGCTCTGGGGCTTTTCCAGCTGCTTTTACTGTAGTGCATCACCTGCGTCCACTACAGAGCACTGTGCTCAGAAGCACTTCCAATCTGAGGAGTCGACTGAATACATCCAGAGAGTGATTGCTGCCTGGACTCTCTCCCCTTTACCAACACCTGTGCTTTGCACCAAAACCGAGGGCCACCCCACTGTAGACTATTGCAGGGGTTACAACGGGGCCAACCTTTTGGTCACCTTGGTGTAATTTGGCATCAATAACAGACTTCACAAATTTGGAAGGGAGGACTGGGAGGCTGCCTCTCACCTTACACTCTCTCATGTGCCTCTTACAAGCACCAAACCTCGCCAACCTCATCACCAGAAGCAAACTCCCTATGACCCGAACCACACCTAATGGTTCCAGGCTATGCTGGGACAAGAAATTCAAAACCTACCAACAGATCTCCACCACCCCCACAATCACTACACCCCACAACAAAACCATCACCATTCCTGAATCTTACACCTGCACCTCCAGAAATGTAACTTATCTCATCCAGTGCACCAAATGCCCTGATGGAAAATATGTAGGTGAAACCAAACAACAACTGCTCACCAGAATGAACGCACACCGAAAATCTCTCGAGGACAGGAATACCCAACTACCTGTGGGTGCACACGTCTCACAAGACAATCACTCCCTCTCCGATCTCAGTTCTGAAGGGAATTTACAAAACACCTTTTGCAGACGAGCCTATGAACTTCACTTCATAAATCTACTTGGATACAAAAAAAAACACATGGACCTGAATATAGACATT